TAACGTGACCGACCTTATAAGTTCGACCAGCTGTGACTCGTAATCTCGATCAAACATTTGTTGGTTGAATGAAATGTCATGTTTTGAGATAAGCAACCCGACCGTCTGTAATTGTGCAATTGATTCTCTAACAACATAATAGATCAGTTGGACGTGTTGGGATTACAAGGGATGCAAACAAAGTCCTACATTGGCTAAGGAAGAGGGTGATAAATGGTATATAAGAGAGGACAATTATCTCCATTGATATCAGACATTTTGGGTGAAACTAAAAGCAAAAAAACCTAGCTGTGTGGGAGGAATCCTCAAATACTTTTAATCCATTGTAAAAAATAAGTGAATATAGTCATTTAGAATAAATAAAATGGAGAGGTTACAAAACTTTTAAAAATCTACCGCCTTTTAATATTGTATAATTAAATACTATTAAATGAAAATTCTTTACCTTTCTTAACACTTTAGATGCAAAATTGAGTAGAATTATAATTTTAAAAGGTAAAAAAAAAATCAAAATTAAAAAAATCACAAAAAACCTACCAAATTAAAATAGAATTTCAAAAGTAAAAAGAAAAAAAAACAAAAAATAATGAAAGATCCAAATAAAAACAAAACGCATATATAGACTAGTACTAAATTATGGGTACATAGGGTATTGAATAAAAATTTGAAATATAATTCTAAAATGGAAAAAAAAGGGTCAAAACAAAACATACAATGAAAGATAATATTATCTAGAAAAAAGTTTCTCCTCATCCGTACTTTTATATATACTTATTCGATACCACTTGCAAATATACATATATTTTCTATTTAACTTAATTTTATAATAAGATAAATGAATGAGAAAAAAACAATAACACTAATAGTAAAATAATAACAATAATAAAAAGAAAAAAGAAAAAAAAATTAAGATGTATATATACAAACTTCATCAAGATATATATACTTTTCATACCACTTCTTTTTAACGAATATATGTTACCTTTCATATTTTTAATGTATTGATTAAAAAATGTATAAGTACTTTAATTTTTATTTTAACAATGTTATTTAACCTAATTTTGGCCTATTATTTTTTAAAAATATTTTGTTTGTTTATTAGAAATTCTAAAAAAAAATTCAAGCTAATTTAACTTAATATTATAATTAAAATTATTAAAAAAATCTTTAAATTATATTATATTATTAGAAAAGGAAGAGACAAAAAGTTATATTCCAAACTTTTTAGATATCGTACAAATTATTGTTCATAATTAATTTATTAATTTACTATTTATAATTAATTAAAACTTATTTATTTCCTACAAAAATTTTTTTTCAACCAAATCAACATGAACTTGTAATAGATCAATATATTATTATTATTTTCTAAAAAAACATTCTAAATACATGAAACATAAAGAACAATACAAAACAAGTCCCAAGGGATAGCTTGGGTGGCTTGGGCCTCAAGAAATATCCTTGAGATCTTGGATAGCTTTAACGTTACAAAACTTTTGAAATACTATTATTGATTTAATTAAAGAAAATAATTTAATTCTATGGTATGGAAAACCTTTTGTATTCTAATTTAGATCATGTATATTTATTATTATTGATAATTAATAATCAATAATTAATTTAATATTTATAATAAATTATTAATGCTATAATTTGTAAATTAATAAATTAAGGAAGGGACAAAAACGTCCAAAAATGTTTTTCTGAGATCCTCCCATTTTAATAATAATAATAATAATAAAATATGTACTATTAATTTAATTTGCACGTTGTAATTTATTATTACTTGTAAGAAACACGTGCGTTGCACGTAGAATCTTGCAGTTCTAAATTAAAGTAAAATAAATAGTGTTTTTTAAGTTTATAATATTATCATTTAAAGAAAGAAAGTTATTATATATAAATATAAATTCAAGATATGATATTGTTGTAATAAAAGAAGATGATGAAATATTAGCATGAAAAGTAGGTACAAATTTGAAGTGTAAGAAAGATGAAAAAGCACCAACGTGCAAGTTTTTTTTTTAAATGAATTAACGTTCTTAATTTATCTATAATTTTCTTGATTATAAATTATTATATTACATTTTATCTTTGTTAAATTGTGTGACGTTAAATCATTGAGTTTGTTCATTCTAGAATGAAAAAGAAAGGTAAGAGTGAGAGAAAGAGTAAACCCTAAAAGGTCCAATCTAATGATATTGAGAGGGATAAAAATTGTTTGTTTGCCCTAACTTTGTAAAAAGAATTACAACATTTCACATATATAAATCAAATGCATCAGTTTAAAAAATAAATAAATAAAAATCAAACTCATAAGCATTCTTATTATCCAAATTATGAGAATAATTGAATTTTGCTTTATCTTGATTCCATCGACCACCATCTCGACACATCGTACTCTGGAATTTCTTTCAACCTGAACAATGATAAATTTGGGGAAAGTGAACCGATGCCATCAACTCAGCTTTAATTTGGTTTCTCTTCACTATCAATTCTCCTATCGATCACCCATATGTGCATTGTTGTTGTCGTTGCTAAAGCAAGAGAGTAATTTTCATACCTTCACACCACTTGGAAAATTTTCCACTTTGTTCCATCCACCACCTCTTGATTTTTGGTTGGCATTAGAAAGAGAGGACACATATTTATATATGGAATGGAAGGGGATTAGGAAGATGAAAGGATTGGGAGAGGCTATGTATAATTGGAAGGGTGTTAGGAAGATGAAAGGATTGGGGGAGGGTATGTGGTAGATGAAAGGAGTTAAAAAAAATCAATGAGAAAGATAAAGTTAATGAAAGAATAATTAAGAAAGAGAATATTAGTAAGAGAAAATAGGGGAATTTAGAGGGATGGGATCCTGATGGAGAGAAGAGATAAATTGAGGGAGAGAAAATTTGTATTTTAATGACACAATTGCCATCAAAAGAAAAGTAAAGAGAGTTATAATGAGAGGGCAAAAATGATATATAGAAGTTTCTCCTCATTCCACCTTTTATATATACTATAGATTTTGGAAAGTATTCATAGTATTTTTTTTATATAATGATTAATAGGTTAAAAATGAAGCAAAACTCAATTTCATCTTAAATTTTATTTTACAAGAATTAAATTAAAGAATTCAAACCATGCATAAATTTATAGAATAAAAGAAAAATAATTGTATATACTTTCAACAATATGGTTAAACAACATCGAACTGAAAAATTGGAATGAATTCTACTGCAATATTTAAGAAACCTTAAAAATAAAAGAATTTTGAGTAGAGAAACTAAAAATAATAATACAAAAAGTAGAAGAAGAAACGAAGAAATGTAACTCAAATTGTTGTTAGAAATAAGTGGAGGAGAATCCTTTTATAGTTGTAAAAAAAAAAAAAGATAAAGGTAGTTTTGCAACTTTTAATATCCTATAATCAAACTATTAAATAATAATGTTAAAAATTTTCGTATTTTAAACTTTAAAATGAAAAATTAAGTGTGTTGGATGCGAATTTGGACCTGCCATGTGTCATGGTAAGAGAGGTAAGCCGATTTGACATGCGGATGGAATTAGAAATTTTCCTAAGGATTGTTCAGGTCAGCAGTTACGGTCCGAGCTAAGAGGACAGGCCGACCTGAACGAAGTCCGTAAGCGTGTCCCTTCCGAACCCGACAACGCGCCGTATTTTTAGGGTGTGTCAGAGTTCCTGTCGGGCCTAGTTTCTATAAATAGAAACCTTAGCCTTAAATGCAAGATACGCAATCCTCAGTAGACTCGGCAAGTTAGCTCGAACTAGAACTGACTTGCACGTCGGAGTGCTAACTTTGTTTTGCAGGTCACAAGAGTACTCGCAGGGAGCGCTAGGCAGTTGGCCGCAGCTCGTCTTGACCGTTTCGATCTGCTTCGTAATCGAGCTCAAACATTTGGCGCCGTCCGTGGGGACNAAAAGAGGTCCAATCCAAAAGAATAACACCTAACTAATAATTACATCAAAACTTATTTTATTTTCCTTCCACCTTCTGAATTTCAAAAACTTTTCTTCATCAAAATGAAGTAATAATAATAATAAAATAAATTATAAATTCTAAGAACTTCTCAAAATTAGTTCTTAGCTTTAAGATGAATGACCATGGGTGCACTGACACATGTCCTAATTTTCTTTCAAAACGACCTGCCTCTTCCATCCCAAATTTATTGAGAATGACCCTGTGCCAAATTTTCCCGAGTTCATGCAGAAACTGCATAACCATTTTTCTAATAACACTACATTCCTCTTTCTTATATTCCAAATCCTTCACCCACCTTTTGTGATGGAAATGGATGTGCTATCTGATCTCACTACATGACTAAATTTCCTCTTTCCATTCCATCCCATCCCATAAAAGAAAATCTTTATGCATCCTTCTATCTTTATAGCCAGCCACCTTGCTTGGGACAAGAACAATGGTCATAAAATGTATTAGATTAGTCAAAATAACTCAATGCACCAAAGTCTCCCTTCTATTGACAAATTAAAACAAATCCTTCTTAAAATTCTGCCCAAAATCTTTTACATAACAGGCTCCCAAAATTTTACCAAGCTTGTATTGTATTACCTCCACACCACACAACCAGCCACGAGACCACTTCTCTAACTCTTTCCCTCACCCAGCAACAAAGAATTTACTAAAATATAGATACATAAGCAACTAGAGTATAAAATGGCAGTTGGGCAACTATAATTCAGAACCAAAAGTGAATAGGCCCACAAGATCAATTTAACCAAGTCATCACTGCACGAGGAAAAGAGAATCCCCACTTCCAATTATCTATCAATTAACTCGGTGGATGCAATCTATAATAACTAGTTTCCGGTCAACATTTAGATGCATAATATATCGCGGAATTAATAGTTAGAGAAACAGTGAGGCAAGCAATAGTGCTCATCTGAAGAGAAGAAGGAAACCTAGTCGCCACGAAATCAAACCAGAGTTAGCGAAAAAGCATGTCGCTACTAAAGGAGAAAGAAGAGAAACCTGATAGGATAAGCCAAGCTTAATTGAACGACCTTGGATCCCGAAGAAAATGGTGAAAAGAGCGGAGGCGATGATGAAGGTCCGGGTGACGGGGGCATTGTCTGCGAGAAAGAAGACCACAATCAAATCGATCAAGGTTGAAAGAAGAAATTGAAACTTGAAAGGAGGGGGAATTATGGGCAGTTTAGCATGAGAAGAGAAAGAGAAAGAGAATTTTGAGGGGACGCACTGAATCCAGACGGGCCGCCGTTCATCGTCTCAGCGAAGAAGGAGAGGAGAGGAAGCAACGACCCACCTCTCTATTTGATTTTCGAATTGGGTCTCTTTTCGTTTCGGTTGGAATTTGGAAACTACTGTTTCTCTCGGCACTCTCCTTGGAATAATTGAACAAAACATTCGTGAGTTATCTTCCCAGAGTTTTCCTTATTATTTAAAAATTTTCAATTTAATTTTTACATTTTTATATTTTTTCTAAATCTCTCGCTATTGATGAATGATGGGATTGGCCGGTGATAAACATCCGTGGCATAATATTAAGTGATTTGACCAAAATTTAGAGGATAAGAAAGGTCATTGATAAAAAAAAAAGGAAATTTCGGATGTGGAATTTGAAATTTTCTTTTATTAGATAACTCTATGTTCCCGCAAAACAATCAAATATTATGTGTTATCCGTGAAATTAAACATTTATTGGAAGGACTTGAGCTCAAAAAAAAAATATTTATTGGAAGGACAAAATTAAAAAATGTTAAAATATTAAGGATTAAAGTGAAAAAATAATCAAACATCGTCGGGCTCGACATCTCCGCCAAATCATGGCAGAGAGTTTGGAAAATAAATTTCTCGATCCAACAAATTCCTCAAACCTCCACTCACTGGAGGGAGAAACTAGAAACCTCATATTCGAATTTGAACAAGTTTCATGAAAAATCAAACATAGAAAACAAAAATCAAAAGTCCCAAAAAACCGGAAAATCAAGATTCCCCCTGTTGGATGCGCATTTGTACCTGCCACGTGTCATGGTAAGAGGGGTAAGCGAATGGAATTAGAAATTTTCCTAAGGATTATTCAGGTCGGTAGTTGCGGACCGAGCTACGATGACGAGCCGACCTGAACGAAGTCCGTAAACGTGTCTCTTCCATGCCCGACAACACACCACG